ACCAAACTCTGTTGGAGAGTCTATCTTCAGTTCTCCAGCTCCCTTAGCAGCTGGTGTCGCATTGGTTTATTTTGCTTGCTGAAGGAAGGGAAGAGCTGTCATCTAGACTGGCCCCTTTCCGTGCAGGTGTTTGCCTTGTTTTTTTTCTCTGCCCCACCAGGGTGTTGTGAGGGTTCTGTAGACCGTAGCCCTTAGGGTATTTCAGATTTTGTGAAAGGTGGTGAGATAGATGAGTTCAAAGTATTTATGTTCTGTTGTATGTACAGGACCCCTCCCCCCAATGACCTTTGTAGTTCAGGAAAAGGACAAAGCATCTTGTGTTGGTTCTTCAGTCTCAGATGTCATTAACCTGATTTCATGGAGTGCCTCTGAAGTCTGTCTTTTGACAGACCTTGTACTTTCTTATTTAGCAGGCTTGTATTATAGCCAAAAATTTTAATATATTGGCTCTTAGTGTCTGTGACAATTCATTTTGCCCAGTTTCTAGAATAAATAAAGAGATATGACTTCTTCTAAAAAATATCCACAACATTGCTGGACTGAGACTTCTTGGTACTGATCTTCTGCTATGTGGGACAGGAGTGCCAAGAACCCGTATCTCAGAGCAGTGTCTGGTAACTGCAGAGTATGGTGTGGCAGGGCTGCGTTAGCAGAGGAAGGAGGCCTTGAGTAAAGCCCAGGGCATTGTGCTTTCCTTTCCTTGAACTCTTGGCAGTGGTGATCATTTGTAAATGCCAGAAATACCCGAACTTCTTTTATGTGGCAGACTTTGAATGAAGCACTGCAGATAATGAAGAGGCTAGACAGAAAAGACAGAAATCTCTTCAGGGCTGCCCTTGATATACAGTCAGATTTTGAGGAGTTAGAAAATGTTTATCAGGGAAGTAAAACTGCTGGATTGGCTTTAGATGGAGAATGATGTAGGGATTAAAGGTGGCATTTTAGGTTAGTTTGAAGACGTTTCTGAAAGGAACGAGTCTTTTGCAATTAAAGGCAGTTTACAGATGGCATTATTCTGAGATTGCTAGTGGGTCCGGAGCCTGTTGCTTTTCTTTGGCTTTCTCTGCTGCAGTCAGGAATGACTTTGTGGTTAGTTCTCACCAGGAGAGTGAGAGCAGGAGAGTGAGCCTCTTCTGGCCTGACTCCTAGAGTGTCTGGGCATGAGTCTGCACCATCTCATCTGTCTCAGTGCAGAAGAGCTTAGAGACCCAGGAAATCCCTGCCATCGAATAGAAGGAAATTGATGCCAGAGCTGCTGCTTGGAGATGAGGGACACAGGGACACTTGTTCGGGACTTTGGTATGTGCTAATATAGATATTGATGGTGCTTGAGCTTATTAACATATAGTTTATAACTTACTTTGCCTTACTCATGAGATACTATGCCTACTGCTCTGTGAGACTGGTGAGGTGCTGTTACTCTCTTTAATTTGGTCACTTATATGTAGTGACTGAGTTTTCAAGAATCAGTTCAAGTCTTGATAGAGCAGGTGACAAAAATGTTTAATGTATTGCTTGTAATTGGGACAGTGGCTTACCACATTTAATATAGCTGCTTTCCCCTTTGATTTAATAAGCTCTGTGGCCCCTGAGCTAGTTTTAACATTCTCGATGTTTACTGCAACAGCTGTAAAGAGCTTTCCTCCTGTCACTTCTCTCTTTCAAGGCCTTTATTCATTTACTGTATAGTATTTTATTTTATTAATTCATCTAGGGACTATGTGCGCATATGGCAAAAGCGTATGACATCCTGACCTAGGCTCTGTGAAAAGACACGGTGAGGGAGCGGTTCCTGCCCTGTTTTTATTACTGCATTGTAGTTCTGTATCTGCACAGCTGTCATTTCAGCCCTAAAACAACTGTGTCTCATGTTCTTATTATGTTTTTTTTCAGTACTGCCTCCTCACCTAACGCGGTGTAGCTTCTGCAGGCATTGCTCCTTTTAGGTCCTTTTAGCAGATACTGTGCTGCTTGTTTGCATATTCTGGCATAGTTTTAAAAGATTCTCAAAGTCTGTACAACACATTTTTAGTTTGTAGAATTAGGAAGTTGATGAGTACCAGGGCTGGAAGATCTAAAATCTAAATCCTAATCTCTGAAGTTGGTTATCTGTTTCCTGATGGTCAAGGTGTGGCATGAATCACAACATTGGTGTCTTATGGGGCTTGTTAGAGAAGGATTTCTGGCTCCATAGAGACCCATGAATCAGAATTCAGGCTTGAGCAAGGCCCTGAGATTACCAGTGTGAAGGGAAAGTAGAAGTCTTGTTCAAGGTCACCCTCCATTTGACTTGAAGAAACAGAAAGTTAGAATGGTTGCCCAGTCACCCAGCTGTTTATTTCCCACTGTGGAGTCATTTGTGAATCTGCACAGAAGATAGTTAGATTTGATATTCTGCCTTCATTAATTAGAATTGCATCCTGGGCATCAGAGTTTTAAAATTTTCCAAGTTGACACCTGTAGCCAAGACCCATTGGTTTGGTTAAAATGGAATTCAGGTTTCTCCATGATTGTCACCAAGCACTCACTTACACTCCCAAAGTGACACAGTCAGGAGCTGTGGAGAACAGTCTTTTCAGGCTTTTTACAATAGTGTGTATGTACCATGGTGATCTAAAGTACCTCACTTAGGGTCAGTTTACCTTACCTTCTAGAATGTCCCTTGAGACAGGATGCCTTGTTTATTGTGGGTCTCCGCTGACTGTCTGGCATGTGACATGTGCTCCTTTGCCATTTGTAGACCAAATGAAAGAGGTAAAAAGAGGTGTGTGCTGTGGGAGGAATAGGCAGTTTCTGATCCCTATATCTATCTCCAGGGTTGCGCGATCATGGGGCCAAAGGCTTTCTGAAGGCTTGTCAGCTCTGTGGAGCAGCAGGACACACTGCTGTGGGAGTACTTGGACTCATATGTCTGCTTTTCTATGCCGTAATACTGTCCTTTTGGGGTTTATCTGTCCTGACTTGTCTGCAGTGAGTGGGAGAACCAAGAAGGATGGCTCCAGCTTTGCAGAACTTGGGACTAGCACTCTTTCCTTTGGCCAAGCCACTGCACTGTTGCAGAGAGGCATCTGGAGATGGCTGGCACACAAGAGATCCTGTGAAAGTCTCTTGAGCAGGGCCTGGCACATGAGAGTCTAGGCAAGGTGGCTGTTGTTCCCATTGTCTTGTGCCATGGTTTATCTGCTTTGAGAACCTGGGGGTGTTTTGAGGTTATAAAGTTTTTAAGCTTAAATCAACTGGGAGCCTTAATGAAGCCAGTGCTGTGGAGGAGATTTAGTTGAGTTCTGTCCATAGTGTCTGAGTTCTGTGTTGCCATTTGGGATGTTTTACCACTAACTTAACTATCAGATTTGGAAGATAGGTGTGAAAACCCCATTGTTCGTAAGGCCATTTATGTTAGCGTGTCTCGTCAAACATTAGTGATTTAAAAACTGTTAAGATATGCTAAGTAACTATTACCTTTAATGCTAATTTTTTTGGTAATAGGCAGAAAATGAGCCTTTAATGTGGCTAGTAGGCTGGCTTGGAAGCTGGTAGATGTTAGAGTGGATGGGGAGGTCTCCAGACACTGGAGAAGAATTAAGGAGTCAATAGCTACTCTGGGTGTAGGAGTTGTGTTATGGGAAAGCTCTGTTGTGTTTATGTCTTAGGATCTGGGTCACGCAGCAGGAAGGGAGAGGAAAAGGAAAAATTCATGGAAGTTTAGTCCAGCAGCTTTTTTGCTCTTAGAAAATGTTGAAATTATTAAAGATTGTACTTGTTACTATAGTAACAGTGGTGTTTGCTGACGGTAGTGTGGTGGTTGGATTCTCTTACTTTGGAGGAGACAGCAGAGGGGAAGGCATCATAGAGTCCCATCTTGCCTATCTGTGGTGACACGGAGGCTCAGTTGCTTCCCAAGGACAACTAGTAAGTGACAGAACTGGAGTCTTTGCACTTCAACTGTTGACCTTGAAATGGTCTTTGTTTTTTTCTAAGTGTAAAAATAAGTGGTTTATAATAAATGATCAATAGTCTAAAGTATCAGTTAGTATTACAGCTAAACAAGAAGTCATTCTTAGGACTAAAAATAATTGACTGGAGAGATTCAAATATTTTTCTCTTTTAAAAGAGTATAGGTTTTTATATGAAAACTTGAGGTTTCCTTGAATGAAGTGACTTGAGAGCAGAGTCCATATATTCTGACTTCCTCCTCTTGTTCTTCTACAAATGCTGTTTGGCGCTCAGCTGAGTCTTTGTATGAATGAGGTGTTTTCAGTTGAGTCTCTTGTATGAATGAGGTATTTTCAGTTGAGTCTCTTGTATGAATGAGGTATTTTCAGTTGAGTCTCTTGTATGAATGGGGTGTTTTCAGTTGAATCTTTTGTATGAATGAGATGTTGGCTGTGTTGCTGGAACATGGTTAATGTTGATACTGACTGCAGATGAGGATGCCATGGATATTGCTTCTTATATGTTTATTCTGTGCACAGCACGTGTGTACTCTAATAAAAACCACATGGTATTGCATGTTCTCACGTGTGTCTTCTATTGGGAAATGCTCCCAAGCCTACAGTGCAAAGCACTGTTACCTCAGCTCTTTGTAGATCAGATGCTAATGTCTTCGTCACTTTTAAATGCTGTGTTGTGTATGTCTTCCCTGACTACAGTAGTCACAGCCTGGAAATTATTGAGGCATTTCTAACATCCAATCCCCAAATCCTGTTTCACTTTTGACTATTGTTAAAGATCATTCAGTCAGAACTCTGGTGCATGTTCAGTAGCCACTTCATTCTCCTTGGTCACAGATGGCTGTCAGTGGCTCTTAGTCTTTCTCAATTGCAAAGCCTTGACATGAAAGATCCCAGGCCAGTTGTTTTGTGGAATGCCCATGTTTGGATTTATCTGATATTTCCTCATGGTTAGATTCAGGTTTTGCATCTTCGGCAGGAATATCACAGAAGAGCCAGTATATGTCTCTTTCAAAGATTAGTTTTACATTTTATTTTCTGTTTCCTTAGAGCGTTTCCCAAAGTGTATTCTGCGGAACTAGCACCTACTGTGTTCTCAACACCGTGCCACCTATAGAAGGTAGGATTTGAAAAGCTTTTGACTTTCAGGAATGGGTGGGCTTGGCAGCCAGATAACTCCTTCCCTAGTATGGTGAAAACAGCCCTGCACCAGAACTTAGGAAGCTGGGCTTCTGCCTTTTGCTGCTGTGTGATCTTAGATGAGTTACTTAATCCTTTTAGGCAACACAAATAATGCTCTCCTCATGAGCCTTCTGTGAGGATTTAAAGCGATGGATCCAGCCACACAGAAAGGTCTGCAAATGTTGGTATTAATACAGCACTTCCTTAACTGTGGAGTCCATAGTACATCTGGGTGATACAGAATAGGACTAGCTGGTGTTCTGTGGGAACCAAAGATTATTTTTGAATCCCAGTTGAGCTACTTGTAACAGTGGATCTTGGCTAAATTAGTCTGAACCCTCAAGTTCCTTATCTGCAGAGCTGGGGTGGTGGTGGTGGTAATTAAAATGTCACATCTTCTCATGAGGATTAAACAAGAGAGCCCAGTATATAGTCCTTCTTGGGTACCTGGTTTGTTAACAATAGACCTCCATGAATGTCTCCTCCAATCAGTAATAGAAACCTAAGCACCTGTTGCTGAAGTTGGAGTTGAGTGAAATAAAGTACAGGAGTGTGCCCAAAGCCTAGGTGAATGCAGCCCAAGTCCTTGGTGCCTCTTCTTTTTCTGTTCTTGTCCCATATTTTATATTGAAATATAACTGTAGAGTGAATAGGAGTTCATAGAACCTGGGTTATGATGCAATAACACAATGGAGAAGAAAACAGTAATTATGGGCCACCTAAGACTAGGAAGGGTGAGAGTGGTGTTTATACAACTCCACAAAGAGAGGAAAGAGAGGTTGTTAAATAACAAAACTATTCAGGCTTTGCTACTTAAAATTATTAACTGCTTTTAATCACTAAAACTCCATTTGAAGAATTATGTTGGGTTTCATTTCCTTCTTAGACTGGAAGAGAACAGCACCTGTTCTGACAGTGTTTGGGGACAGGAATTGGAAGGTCTTAGGTTGGTCACGGCAGTGCTTTGCTATGAGCGCTGTGCTGCCTGGAACACACCAGTGTGTGCTCCTTTCCCTGAGCCAGTTCTGATCCCACTAGTTAAATCTAAGCACATCATAATTAGAGCCAAGCAGAAAAGTGTGGAACTGGAACTGCCTTTTAGTTTTTCCTCTCCACACTGTTGATCACATGCGCTGTGAGAGTTAGCCGATGGACTTGTGCTGCAGTGGAGCTGGTGTGGTGGTCTTTCTAGAGGTCCAGAGACGGACAAGTCACCATCCCTCTCCTAAGTCAGGGTGTTCTCCTTGTTCATAGGCCCAAACTGTTAGATTTTTATTGCAAAGGGAAAGACAGTGGAGGTATCCTTATCAGACTAGTTTAGTTAATATACTTAGGACTTAGCTTGCAGAAATTCGAGCACCCCAGAAACATGCCAAATGCATTTCTTTGTGTTTTAGTCAAAGATTTGGCAATGTGAATCTCAATTTTAGAAACAAAACTGAAAGTTAGACTCCAGTTAGCTGAGTGAACATTTTTATACATTTTAGAAAGATTTAACTAAATTACACTATGACTCTGAAATTATAATTTTGAAAATATTTGAAGGTTGACGAGGAAGATTGGCTCATTCTCTAGAATTATAGCTGTCAGCCAAGCACATCATCTGTCAATTTCAAGAGCCCCACCAGTTAAGTTTTTATTGTGAGGTAGGTTAGGAAATTATATTGTGAAGTCATGTATCATGTGTTTTGCTAGATAACGATAATGAAATGCTTGTCTGTCATTTAGTTGACATTCCCACTTTGCAGTGTCAGAGTTTAACTGTTTGGGTTGAATATGGACGTGCAGTTGAAACCAGTTTATACCTTAGTTTTAGTGTTAAGATACTATTACTGGCATTTTAAAACTGGCACATATGTTCAGTTATTTAATCATTTTACAGCTATTCTAAAAAATTAAACAGTAGCTTTTAATTAAAAACACATTTTTATGCAGTATCACTTTGTGAACAGTTCTTTTCCAACATAAGAACAAAGTTTTCAGTTACCATACTTTAACCATTAATACTGAAGTTGTATTATTTTCCCCTGGTGCTGGAAACTGAACCCAGACATTTTAGGAGAATAATTTGTTACTGTGCTAAACTTGGCCCTAAAGAATGGAGTATGAGTTTAGCATTAAACTTTCTGAATTCTGACTCTGTCTAGCATTGAACTTACTTCTTCATAAGTTGGGAGAAGGGCATTTACCCATCATTACGATTCTTAAGAGCACCTGGCTTACCGTTCAGCATAAACCTAAAATTCTGAAAATGATGCATTTGAAAAGCAGAGCAAGAGGACCCGCTGGCCGGCCATGCAATCCTTCCTTTCACCTCATGAACATAGGGTTACTGTGCAGGGCTGCTTCATAGCTCTCTTCTGTAGCAAGCTCTGGTGGAGCCTTGATTGAGATAGTGCCCACATAGCATTATGCTTTTGTCTTTAAAAACATTTGCCTTTGGGTCCACACACCATTGTCTCTTCTGTCAGAGTGAAATTGAAAGCCTGAAGCTTTTCCTCAAGCAGTTGTATTATTGAGAACAAGAACACAAACATTCTCTCTCTCTCTCTCTCTCTCTCTCTCTCTCTCACACACACACACACACACACACACATACTCATACACTCAACATTCTCTTTCACACACACAACATTCTGTCTCACACAGACTTGATGTTCTCTCTCTCACATACACAACATTCTCTCACACACATTAAACATTTTTTCTCTTTCTCTCACACATTCAACATTGTCTTGTATTCATGCACACATTTCACACACACTCACCATTCCCTCTCACACATTATACACACTCCATTCTGTCTGTCTGTCTGTCTCTCACTCACACACACCTACAGACACACACACACACTCACCATTCTCTCACACATTATACACACTCCATTCTGTGTGTGTGTCTGTCTGTCTGTCTGTCTCTCACACACAGACACACACAGATACACACTCACCATTCTCTCTCACACACATTATACACACTCCATTCTGTCTGTCTGTCACTCACACACACAGACACACACACACACTCATACACTCACCATTCTCTCTCACACATTATACACACTCCATTCCGTCTGTCTGTCTGTCTGTCTCTCACTCACACACACAGACACACACACACACACTCATACACTCACCATTCTCTCACACATTATACACACTCCATTCCGTCTGTCTGTCTGTCTGTCTGTCTCTCACTCACACACACAGACACACACACACTCACCATTCTCTCTCACACACATTATACACACTCCATTCTGTCTCTGTTTCTCTCTTCCTGTCACTCTGACTTTCACTGCTGGCAGCCAGGTTTCTTAAAGAGGCTAAACGGACAGGAGTTTAGCATGGGTTGTGACCAACAAATGGAAACAGAAGTTAGGGTTTAATGTTCTGTTCTGCTTTAGATAGCTTTCTCAGGAAGATGGCTGTTCATGTACAAGGTATCTCTGCATCGACTGAGTACTAGCCTAGTGCTATTCTCATAAAAGATATCCCATATATATTGAATAGAATATAGATGTTCAAATTTCACCTCTACTTTCAAAATTGTGTATGTCACTTTTTTTCTTTTAAAGAGAGAATAAAACCACATTGGATGGAAAGCAGGAAGGTAAAACTTCATGTGTTTCTGTCTTCTGTACTTTAAATTTTTTGACCTATATGCTTCCCTGGAGGATGAAGTACAGGGATTATGCAAGAGCACATGTAATTATAAAGGCTTTATAGTAAGCAATGAATCAGAACGTCCTATTAACTTTTTCTTAGTTGATTTCCTTTTGATTTTAAGCAATATTTTTAAGTTTAATCTTAATTTGGTATTAATTTGTAATTTTGGATCTCCTAAGAGCAATGTCAGCAGTTTCTCACTGCTGGAGACTTGCACAGTTGTGTTTATAATTCAGTTGGCTGTGTAGTTCATGGACCAAAAAATAGTAGGCTAAGACTCTCAAGTTAATTCCTGTAAAGCATTCTGCATGATGTGGTAGATTTTCTCAGACTATTTTTGTGCCTAATATTTACTTCTGTCCTTCTCCAAGAGAAAAAGAAATGTGTTAATCAGATGAGAAGTGTTCAGGTGGGAATTTTGTAACCTTAGAAAAGTTTTGTTGTTGTTTTATTTATCCCTCAAAAGACAGTATTAACTAGAAGTACAGAAATAACTGGACAGATAATTGCTGTATTTCAATTAATATTTAAGCAGTACCTGTGGACCTCTGTAAAGCTGCTGATTTGTAAGGCATGCTGTTGCTGAAGGACCTTAAATTTTATAGAAATTTGTACTTGAGGGAGAATTAAACGATCCCGAATTCTCTGATTCATGATGTGGAAAAACTGGAAACACTGAGTAACTTACCCAAGGTCACACAGGCAGAAAGGCACAGAACCCTCACAGGTGTGGGCTGTGACTCTGGTGGGTGCTTGTGAAAGTTGGTGAGCCCGTGGTGGAGCAGCTGGAGTCTAACTTTGTAACACGCTGTCCCCAGGGCTCAGGTGTATGGCCCCTTGTGTCGTCTGGGGATTTCATTCAGCGTAAAAAATTGGAGTGGGTAATTGGAAACTCTGACTGGAATTTGCCACATATGGCAAGGAATTTGGAGTCAGGGAAAGGGAGGGATTTCTTTACAGGAGTGGAAAAGTAAATGATATGTGAATAAATGATGGAAATAAATGCTATCTAAAGAAATGATCTACAAAGCATCAGGTAGTCAGATTTGCTGTCTGGGCTAGAAGTAATGAGTTCTGTGACTCATTTAGACAGAGTTACATCTAATGGACTGCATTAATTCTGCAGACATGTACATGAAAATCAGCTTAATTAAAGTGATGAATTGTTAAGGTGCAGCCTAGAAAGGCCGGCTTCTGTATTACCTGTTAGTTAACCACAGGCTTAAATCCTTATAAGAATCTGTGGTTTCCTTTAGAAAGGAAAATCTCTTTTGTATTATAGAAGACAAAGTCATGTTTAGTTTATAAATAAAAGCCACATGTAATTATAATTCTTCAAACTTGAAAACCATGACACGTTTAACTTGGTTGATAAACAGTTTCTGGGTTTCATGAGGTTAAATCATTTTAAAATTTTGGTGTTTCTTGAAAGCACTGAAAGAGCCTTTAAAGTAACAATCTGATTTTGGGCGGCTCTGGGGCACTTTCTGTTTGCTTGCATATGATGGAGTAAAGCTCAGTCTGTTTCAGAGCCCCACAGGCAGATTCCTGCTGCCTCCATCCCAGAGTGTATAGGTGAGGAACTATGTTCTTGAACTCAGCCGCTAAGCAGAGCTGCTGCTTTTGACATTGTCAGTGTACTTAAAGGAGACTTTCTCTTTCTCTGAACTTACTGTTTTCTTCTTTATAGATGATCATGGGAACAGCAATAGTAGTCATGTAAAAATCTTTTTACCGAAAAAGCTGCTTGAATGTCTGCCGAAATGTTCAAGTTTACCCAAAGAGAGGCACCGCTGGAACACTAATGAGGTAGATACACTTCAATTCTTAAGGGCATATTATCTTATGGGTGAACTCTTTATGATGTTTTGCATAGTGCTACTTTATATTAGCTTCAAATTCAATAGCTTGAACATGGAAATTGTCAATGAAAAGAATTTTTTTTTTAAAATCAACAACAACAATAAAAAACAGGATTTTCTCTGTGGGTAGTCCTGACTATCCTGTAGTCCAGGCCATCCTTGAACTCAGAGACCCACCTACCTCTGCCTCCTGAGTGCTGGGATTAAAGGTGTGTGCCACCACCACCTGGCTGAAAAGAATTCTTAATCTCAAATTGACATAAGTATCTTGGATTTTGACCTGTCTCTGGTGTGCTTGGCTTGTGCTAAGAGCTGTAAACTGCACGTGACTTCACTAAAGCAGCATCTTGCGTTTGATGGTTGATTTACCCGTGCATCTCAGCATGAGTTCTGTATTGTTTCAAGTGAATGACTAGAGTCCCAGTGCTTCACAGAAAACAGTGTGCTGGAGATTCGGTATATAGAGCTGGGGACAGGCTTATCAGTCCTTTGATCTGGAGAGAGAGCTTCTTTCAAGTATTGACTGTTTGCTTTAGTAATATGGTTTCTGTTAGGACTGCAGGCCAGAATGTAGGTCACACATTTGACATCTATGTAAAGAGTAGATTGATGGAGTAGATAGAAGGAAAGTTTGTCTTTTTGGGCAAACTTTCCTTTTTTGGTAAATTTTAACTTGGGAATCTTAGCTGTGTGTTGTTTCGTTGTCTAAAGTTTTAGCTTGAAATCTGGGTATTTAAGGTAGGGTAGTAGCAGAAAGTGGATGTTATCCATTTCCAGTGTAAGGTGACAGTTACTGTGGTGATGAGAGCTGGGTGTGTGTCTGTCAGTCATGTTCTCCTTTGATTCACATGACTGGGGCTACTGGTTACTTCACATTAGCATAAATCCATTTGTGTTGTTGGTTTACTCTTTATTTCTAAGTTAGCTTAGAGCACAGCTCCTTCCTCCCATTTGGCAGGGCTTGAAAAGGAACAGTGATGTCTGTTGAGACTTCATTTTGACTCTTTGTTTTGAGTGGTGGGAAGCTGTATGGATGAATTTCTTCACTTCACAAGCTGCAGTTTTAAATACTCATTAGAACCTTAAGCTTCGTAGCTTTGTCTCAACTGAGTAGATCTTTTGAGTATGTGTTTTACTCACTCATATGGGTGGTCCTTGCTCTCCGTGGACAGCTGCTTTATCGTGGCCGGTATTTGCTTAGCCCCTTCTAGTTCTAACCAGCATGTTTTACTTAAGGATTTCTTATGTTTTAGACCTGAAAAACAGTAACTATGTTGAAAATTTATCTTAGTCGTGGACTATCTCACTTGTCTACAGTACAGTAAACTTTGGAAGCTTTGTAGGAATTCTCTTAGGAATTCCATAGAAACTCAGTGTTCTTTGATGCTCTCTGAGACAGCTTTGACACAACATTTTTTAATGCTTTAGTTAGCATTGTCACAAACACATTAAAGTAAACATGCTCTCCAGTTACGTTTCATAAGGAGTAGAAATTGTCAGTGTGGTTTAGTGAAGTTAGAGACTGATAGTGGGCTCACAAGTCTGAGAGTGACTGGTTTTGCTATGGAACTTTCACATGTATATTTGCTTCTAAATCTAAATTATTTACATGCTCTACTTTCTAACATACTAGCTTTGTTATAAAATGCCAATCGAGGACTTTATGTGTGGTCTTGATATGTAGCTGAGGCTGGTCTTGAGCTCATTCTTGGACCCCTTGCCTTAGGTTTTCAAATTTAGGTATCGCGGGCATGAGCCACCATGTACAGCAGTGTTTAGAGGATGTGATTAAAGAGTAAGGAGTCTCCCTGTTTTCTCCCATGCTGTGGGTTACTGTTGTTGACCCCCTTTCAGACAGCTGAAATATTAAACTGCAGGTCTAGAGGAGAACAAGTAAGAGTGTTCTGTGCAGGTGTTGCTGCAGCAGCAAGCACAGAGGGGAGTGTGTTGCTGAAGGGGTGGAGGCGGAGGTGGCACGGCTGATGGACAGCGCCCTTTCGAGCTGTCATTCTTGCAGTGATTTGTCAGCTCCACACTGAGGAAATCTGGGTGGAAAGATGGCCTGCAGTTTGGAGTGGGCATTGCTCTTTGTTTCTTGGCTTTAGAAGAACGGGAGGGCTGCTCAGTGTGAAGGTGGGGACCACACCTGTCCCTGTTGTATTAACGACTGGCTTGGACCACAGGGAGGAAGAAGTCGATGTGGTTCTGTAGGCGTCCACTTCCTTGGTTTGACTGGGCATTTCCTGAATTCTTCCTCCTGTTGTCTTCATGGTATTAGATGGATGTACCTCTCACTGGGCCTTTGTGTTCCTAGGAGAGGAAAATCCTGGGCAGTCTACCTTGCTCATGAAATCCCTGTGCAGGCTTATGGAGTGCTGTGCCATTAATGTCGTACGCAGTTAAGAGTCCATTTTCCTTCCAGAGTGGACTAGTTGACTGTGTTCTGGTTGAGAACCATGTGAAGCAGGTGGCTTGTTGAGAAGGTTTTTGTACAAAGACTACATTTCTTAAGATCACACTTCCTGGGACAAGAGGCTCTTTCCTGGAGGAGGTGTATGGTCTGACAGCAGCTGAGTGTGTGGTAAAGTTGTGTTCCCATCTCACTGTGCAGCTTGTGCAAAACAGGACATGCACTGGAGCTGCCCGAGAAATGGCAGCTGTCCTCCTCAGCCACTGTGATTGTCTCCCTTCACCCCTCACAGTTGAATCCTGGGTCCAGTTGACTCATTTGTACTTCTGAGAAGTTCATTTACTCAGACTTGCTTTTAAACATTTGTATTGAGAAAATCCAGTTTCATACTGTGGTGCTGGAGAGTTAGAACTGTTTCTACTCAGATGCTGCCATGTACTAAGTACCTGCATTTGCTAGGGACTGAGCCCAAATTATTTCTTTATTTTTTTTAAATATTTATTTATTTATTTATTTATTTATTTATTATGTATACAATATTCTGTCTGTGTGTATGTCTGCAGGCCAGAAGAGGGCACCAGACCTCATTACAGATGGTTGTGAGCCACCATGTGGTTGCTGGGAATTGAACTCAGGATCTTTGGAAGAGCAGGCAGTGCTCTTAACCTCTGAGCCATCTCTCCAGCCCAGCCCAAATTATTTCTAAGTCTCATAATGCTGTAAGGTGGGCAGTGTTTCCTTTTAGAGATGCGGAAGTGTAGGTAGAAAGAGCTGAGTGATGGAGTCACGGCAGTGCTCTTGGTCTGTAAAGTTTGTTTCCTAGCTTCATTTCTTGTGTGTGTAATGTGTGCATATCTCAGTGTTTGATGAAGCTATAGGTTACTTTGATGAGGTGATTCTTGTCTTAGTTCAGCCACTTTTATCTTTATGTTGTTCTGTTTTTTTTTTTCCCCCTTTAGACTGCCCTGGAACTCTGTAGACAGGTTGGCCTCAAACTCGGAGATCTGTCTACCTCTGCCTCCCAGGTGCTGGGATTAAATGTGTGTGCCACCTCCCTGGTTTATTTTAATTTTCCCTAACCCATTGGGCTATATAATTTCCTTTCCTTCTTCAGTGTTATTTGCAACTGAGAAGAAATGGAATGTTGTGTCTAGAAGCAAATCAGCTTTAGACTGTGCTTTCTTGGGTAGATAGAAGTGCTCCTGAGACCTGAGGCCTCCCAGGGATCTATGCTGATGGCTACGGTAGCAATCATGGAAGCCAGTGTCTATGGTTGGTTGTAGGGTAGGCACTGTGGGTTCCTCTTCATGAATACTCTTAGCCCTTGAATTAATCCTATGAAGTAGGCTGTTTGATTACCCTTGTAGTATAGATAAAGAAGTGTGACATATGGAGATGCTAAATAGTTTTCTTAGCGTGCTCAGGCTGAAAAAAGTGTGTGGGGTGTGCAGCCTCTGCAGGTGATGGAACTTACATTCTTTTCTGCTTTGTCCTGAAGAACTGTTACTTTGTTTGTTGTTATTATTATTTATTCCCCTTCTTCTGCCTCTGTTCTCAGTGTTCTTCTCTCCCCTAGCCCCTCTTCTTGTTTTTGAGATAGGATCTCATGTATCTTGGGCTGGTCTTGAACTCTGCATCTTGAATTCTACCCTGCCTCAATGTCCCAAGTGCAGGGATTATAGGTGATGATGGCATTTTTCAACTGGACTCTTTTTCAAGATCTTGCAGTTATTCAGTGACTTTTAATCTTTTTGTTGTATAGAATTGTTTGACTATAAGTATATAGTGTCTTGCATGGTGATTTGATTTTAGTACCATTCATTTCTTAGGAAAATAGTTTTGCTTTAGTGTGTGATGTATGTGCATATTACATGTTTGTGTGTATGTATATATGTGTGTCCTTGCACACATGTATGTGTCTGTATGTGGAGGCCATGCACATGCCCAATGTCTTACTCAGTTTCTCTCCACATTACTTTTTGAGACAGAGTGTCTCACTGAACCTGAAACTCACCAACTTGCAAGACTAACTGGCCAGTGAGCCCCAGGCCCCTTCTTTTTCTTTCTTACCAGTGTTAGGATTACAGGCATGTATATATGCCAACTTCTGATATGTGTGCTGAAGGACTGACGTCAGGTTTTCATGCTGAATGTGGCAAGCATTTTGTGGGCAGAGCCATCTTTCCATACCTTCATTCTTTAAATATGCTTAAAATTTCATTTATTTGTTATTTGAGAGAATGTGTACGTGTAGACACGTGTGGAGGATGTTAACAACTGGGAAGCAGTTCTCTGCTTTCACCGTGTAGTTTGAGTCCTCGGGCTCCAACTCAGGCTGCTAGAGCTTCTGGCAAAGTGCTTTTACCTGCCAAGTCGTCTCATCGACTCCTTTAAAAAGTGTTTGTTTTGAGACAGAATCTTGTAGTGAAGCCTTGTCTGACCTGGTACTTGGCTGTGTCGTACAGGCCAGCTCTGCCTCCTGAATTACAGGCATGTGCCACCATATGAACACTTTGCCTCTTAATGATGAGTAATGG